CTCCCCCACCCTCCCCCACCCGCAGGTCAATGCCTACCGCCGCCAGCTGGACGTCCGCGTCGCCGGCTTCGACCCCCCAAAGCCAATCCAGACTTTTGGCCAGTGCGGCTTTGACCACGTCCTGCTGGGCGCCATCAAGCGCGCCGGCTACGACAAGCCGACGCCCATCCAGGCGCAAGCGCTGCCGGCGGTGCTCAGCGGGCGCGACGTCCTGGTGGGAGGGTGGTATCATCAGGCACAGCTTTGCGTGTTTGGGGGCGTCTGCGATGAGGCAACGCTCCAGCCGTGACAGCAGCATGCAGCCCAGCCAGGACATGCGCCGCCAGCTTCCAGGCCGCAGAGTGCCGTCCAATCGGGGTGACGCGCCCGACCCCGCACCTCACAACCACAGCTGCATCCCGCTGACGGCATTCCCCCCTCCTCCGCCGCCGCGGTCCTGGCAGGGCCTGGCAAAGACAGGCAGCGGCAAGACGGCCGCGTTTGTGCTGCCGATGCTGGTGCACATCCTGGACCAGCCCGAGGTGGCCAAGGGGGAAGGGCCCATCGGGCTGGTGCTTGCGCCGACGCGCGAGCTGGCGGAGCAGATCCACAAGGAGGCGCGGAGGTTCGCAAAGCCGCACGGTAATTGTGCGGGCGATCAGCCCTCATGTCCCGCGGGCTGCTGGCAACAAGCAGAGGCGGGGGGCTGTTCGTGACATCCAGCTTTTGAGGGCGATGTAGCGGTGCCATCGCCCATTCGACCGCGCTGTGCTCCACAATTGCCGCTGTTCAACGACAATGTCCGAAACATGCGCAGGACTGCGCATTTGCGCGGCGTTTGGCGGCCTGTCGAAGTTTGACCAGGTCAAAGAGCTCAAGGCCGGCACCGAGGTGGGCCATGACGGTGTGGCCGTCTGGGAGGCTGTGCACAAGGCCGCCACTGGCCCGCCTGCTTTGCGGCACGCCTAGCTCCCCTGAGGCTTGCTCCTTGCTGCCCCACACGCCTGGGCTCATACAAGCGCTTCACACCCTGCGCGGCCACGCCATGCCCTCAAGTCCTTCCCCCATCCCATTGCGCACACTCATCGATGCACCCCCCTTCCGCACACCTGGGCCATCTCAGGCTCCCAGACCTATCCTCACGCGCTAGACCCTAGCCCACATCACCCGCTCCCCTCACAATTCCCTGACCATCCAACCGCCAGGCTGCCGTGGCCACCCCGGGGCGCATGATAGATCTGATCAAGATGCGGGCCTGCACCCTGGGCCGCGTCACGTACGTGGTGCTGGACGAGGCCGACAGGATGTTCGACATGGGCTTTGAGCCGCAGGTTTGACCGGGGTTTGACCAGTGCTGTTGGCCGGGAAACCAACTGCAGCTTGGTGCGGCGTCTGGTTTCAGGTGTTGAAGTGTTCCAGATAAGTTTGATCGTCTGTTGTCCACCCTGTGCTGCCCTATTTTCCCACGAGCCCCCGGTCCCATGCCGCCCCTTCACCTGCCCCCCACCGCCGCGATCGCCGCCGCCACCCCCCCAGGTGCGCACGCTGATGGGCCAGGTCCGTCCTGACCGCCAGGTGCTGCTGTTCAGCGCCACGATGCCTAGAAAGGTGCGCGCGACACTGCAAACCCATCGCGTGCCTTGCACGCCTCGCGGCGCCGTTGCTCCACGTGTTGGCCGGCCACCGCCAGCTTCCAAGCACGGCGGGCTCTGCTTACATGTGTTCCTGACCCATTGCCCGCACAGGCGGGCAGCCCCACCAGCATTGACCTTGGTCCGCGCGACGCCACGACACGCGAGCGCCGTCCCTTCCATGTTGCCGCATGTTCATGCACTGCATCTCCCCGCCCCACCCTCCAGGTGGAGCGCCTGGTGTCTGACGTGCTGTCCAACCCGGTGCGCATCAGCGTGGGCCAGGCCGGGGCCGCGAACGAGGACGTGGCGCAGCACGTGGAGGTGCTGGAGGGTGGGGAGGGCGCCAAGAGGGCCTGGCTCATGGGGCGCCTGCAGGTGTGGAGGGAGAGGGTCGGTTTTGGGTGGGACCGGGGTGGTGGGGAGCGGGGTGGGAGGTGCAGCTGAGGAGGGCGGGTGGGGGCCCTGGAGTTTGGGGCCTGGGGAGGAGGCGGCAGGGTCTGCCAAGCAGGGAGTGGGATGGTGCTTTGGGGAGGGGAAGTGCATCAAAAACACGTGCCTTGTTCCAATGGAGATGCTGGTCAGGCGCCGTGCCGCAGCCCGTCGGTCGAGCAGACAGCAAGCACGCGCACTGGCAAGGGGGCCCTCCCTTCCTCTCGCTCCCACTGGCTCGCCCCATGCAGCCCGTGCAACACACAGCACCACGTCCCGACCAGCATGCTCTTGCGCCTCAATCCAATTTTGAATCTAAACCCCATCCCCTTTCCAGGGCTTCATTGACGACGGCGATGTGCTGGTGTTTGCGGGGCAGCGCGCCAAGGTGGAGGACCTGGTGGGGGTATTGGTGGGGGCGGGCTACAAGGCGGCCGCGATCCACGGCGACATGGACCAGGTGGGGGGGGTGAAGAGGGTGGGTGAGGGTGGGGTGAGAAATGCGCTTCCTGCACATGCCTTTGTGCCTGGACATGGGTTGACATGGGCGCGTGCACGCATGTTTGAATCATCCGTGTCGGTTAAGGCTGCCGTGTCTGCGCGGCATGATTGGGTGGATACGATCGTCGCCGCGGCAGGGGGCGTCAGGCCGGCCGGGCGTCGCAGGGTATGAAGATCTTCTGGAAGCGACGCGGCGGCGCCCGCACCCTCCCTGCAGCCATCTCCAACCACCCTCCCGCCCTCGTCCTCCGCCCGCGCCCGCGCCCGTCCCCGCAACCTCCCCCCGACAGTTTGCGCGCATGGCGGTGCTGGACGCGTACCGCGCCGGGGCGCACCACGTGCTGGTGGCCACTGATGTGGCGGCGCGCGGCCTCGACATCCGCAGCATACGCACCGTAGTCAACTACGACGCACCCAAGGACATCGAGACGCACATACACAGGTGCACATACACGCACAGGCGCCTGCTTACCTTCGGTAACCTTCCTGACACCGTTTTCCGCGCGGCCGGCTTGCGTGGTTGAAGTGCTCTTGAACGGCAGCTCATGCTGCTTCCGACGGCGGCGCCCGGCTCGGTGCCGCGGACGCCCCTTGCACGGCCGCCCGAACGCTCTGCATCACCTTCACCCGCCCCGCCCACGCGCCGCGCAGGGTCGGTCGCACGGGCCGCGCGGGCGACAAGGACGGCGCGGCCTGGACGCTGCTTGAGGCCGGGAAAAACGCCCAATTTGCGGGGCAGCTGGTGCAGAGCCTGGCGCTGGCGGGGCAGGAGGTGCCCAAGGCGCTGCACGCGCTCGCCATGAAGGTGCGGGGCGGGTGGAGCTCGGGTCGGACTGGATTGCATGGCGCTGGGCTTGTGCTGCTGCAGGGTGGGGTGGTTGCATTGCGCTGGGCGCCGCTGCGGCGATGCGCCGGGGGTAAAAGGAGGAGGGAGGGAGGATGGTGGGGGGGCTACTGTGGGGCGGACGCAAGTCTTGTGATCGGGCGTAGGTGCGTCAACGGACTGAGTCGCGCTCTTGAATCCGGGAGGGCAGTGCCGGGCGAGCGACGACGAGATGAGATAATGCCGCTTCTCAGATTACGCTGAGCGCCCACCCGGCCCCTTCCGCCTTGCTGCCACATTGGCGCAGGA